ACACACACACACACACACACACACACACACACACACACACACGCAGAGTAACTTAAGACAAAAATTGGTTTCATGTTGAATATAGACAACAGAGTCAAATGTGGACTGCAAAGATATCAGTAAGGACAGACATGAAAGGGATGAGACTGCACAATAGAATTAGTGGTGAAACGATACCAAGAAATTATTGCCTTTTCAGATTTTTTTCACTGGGGGTTAATAATTTTTTTATTAACATCTAGGACAATACTCACCTCTCCAGAGAGCTGGAATCTCAATGTGTGTTTCATGTGAGGTTCTTTAACAGGGTGACACTCAACATCCCAAAACTGGGCATAATCCCCTCTATCTCTGGGCAGAAACATGATGGAGACCTACAAAACACACCAAGACAGAGATATGTAAACCCCCACTTCAAACAGATTACAAATTCAAAGTTTTAGTACAAAAAAAGTAAAGTAAGAAATGCATTTATATTGACTATTTTTCCTTCTAATGCAAAAGCATTTGAACAATTTTACTTCTCGCAGGCTTGGTATTATAACATATCCAAAATGTACTTCTGTTTAAGAAGGTGTATAACACATTTACCTCAAATGTACAGTAAACACTTTTTTGGAGGAAGAAAGTTTTCACAGTACTAGAGATGTCACATAGAGCCTCTGAGGAGAGTTCCACCAATCCAGATATGCATACTCACCAAACAGCTTGCCTGTCCCATAATCCAGGAGGAACAGTTCTCTGCCTTAATAGCCTAAGGCCAGGTACCAAACACCCAGAACCCTGCCTGAGGTTGCCAAAATTTTTCAAAGTAGCAAATCCTAAGTAGTTCATCTTTCCTTGCTTTGTCTTTCCTGTGGAAACCCCCCAAAAGGCTTTCATCCCTCCTGTTTACTGCCATCTGATTAACCTGGAGTTCCCACCGTCTACATACCTGGAAGACTCCAATTTTAGAGGACTGGGAAAGAAGCTGCTCCAACATTCTTTCTGCTTGTTGTGGCTTTTTCTTTATAGTATACTTTCAGCAATATTGACTTGTGTATTTTATGTTTTTCCTAAATTAGTCTAATTTTTAAAATATTTCTCACAATTGCACTGACGTCTTTTTATCTTTCTCTCCCTTCTCACATTCTTCTCCATTCTTTTTCCTTTTTTTATTTAACATTACTTATGTTTTTCCCCTTCCTATTTTATTTCATTCATTTTAGCTATTTCTACATATATCCTAAATAATTAAAAAGTTTAAAAATTTTTACTTATTTCTATTTCACGCGTGAATATTTTGCCTTCATGTATGCACATGTACCATGTACATGTAATGCCCAGAGGCCAGAAGAGGGCACTGGATCCCCAGAAACTGGGCTAGACAGTTTGTCAGCGGCTATGTGACAGGCACTGGGAATTAAATCTGGGTTCTTCTGCAAGAGCACCCAGTGCTCTTGGCCACTGAGTTATCTCTCCAGCCCCCCCCTAAATATTTTTTAATTTCACAGTACACTCTACATTACCATTTTATACTCTCTGGTCATTGGTTGTGTGTTAGTTGGTTTTAAGATACACACAGACTGAGCATGAAATTAACCAAGGATGTCAGTTAACGAGGCAAAAAAGCAAGGTAGCTATTCTTTTATCTGCTAAAGGAGAAGTCAAACCAAATTATAAGAGATAAAGAGAGTCATTACATAACACTAAGAGGAACAACCCATCAAGATCCCATAACAAATGCAACCAATTTTAAAAAGCACACACTGCTGGACATAAAGACACACAGGTCCAGGTACAATAACAGTGGGTGTTGTCAGAATACAAAAATCCTCTGTTTGAGGCTGGAGAGATGGCTCAGTAGTTAAGAACACTGGCTGTTCTTGCAGAAGACCCGGGTTTGAATCCCAGCATCTACATGGCAGCTAACAACTGCCTGTAATTCCAGTTCCCAGAGATCCGACAGCCTCTTCTGTCCTCCGTGGGCATTGCACGACACAGGTGCACTTACCTACATGCAGGCAATACACAAATACATATAAAAAATAATAAAAAAAAAATCCTCTGCTGTGACATACTCCTTTAATCCCAGGCGGATACAGGCCAGCCTGGTCTACATTTCAAGTTTCAGGCCAGTCAGGGCTACAGGGAGACCCTGTCTCAAACAAAACAAACCAAAACAAACCAACAAAACAAACCAAGACAAACCAAAACAAACAAAACAAAACAAAACAAAACAAACAAAACAAGGAGGATGGAGCGAGAGAAGGCTCAGTGGTTAAGGGCACTGGCTGCTCTTGTTGGGGACCCAGGTTCAGTTCCCAGCACCCCCATGGCAGCTAACAACTGTCTATAACTCCAGTTTTAGGGGATCCAATGCCCTCTTCTGACCTCTACGGGCATTGCACAACACAGGTGCACTTACATACATGCAGGTCATACACTTATTCATAAAAATAAAATAAAAATAACACCCAGAATGTGAAACATCCCCCACAGGCTTATGCACCTCAGCTAGTGGCATAGCTTTAGAACATATAGGGGGTAGAATTTCACTACAAGAGGTGACTCACTGGGGACACTGGTTTATACCCCAGTCCCATTTCTTATCTGCCTTCTGTTTCCTGTTCTACCAAGCTAAAAAGTGGAGTCACAACTGCATGTTCCTGTACATGCAGCTGCCTACTCTTCTATGATGATTATCTCTTCAAGCTGAACAAAATAAACTTTTCTTAAGCTGCTTTTGCCAAATATTTTGTCATAACAATGAGAAAATTAACTGAATATCTACATGTAGGAGAATGAAACTAGATCCCTATCCCTTACCCTGTACAAAAATCAACTAAAAATGGATCAAAGGCCTGAAACTGCTGGAGGAAAACACAGGTAAAACACTTTAAGATATAGGCACAGGCATAAACTTTCTAAAAACCTCAGGAAATAGGAAGACTTGACAAACAGGATTGCATGAAATTAGAAAGTTTCTACACAGCCAAGGAAACAAACAGAAAAGTGAAGAGACAGCCAACCAAATAGAAAAATCTTTGCTAAATATATACATATTCTGGATGCAAGTCCTTTGTCAGTTATATGAGTTTGAAGTATTTCTCCCACCCTGTGGATATTCTTATTTTACTGATGTTGTTTAAAGTACAGATGTTGCTAATTTTCATAATTCACCATTGTCTGAAACCAAGGCATAATTCAAGGTCATGAAGATTTATTCCTTTGTACTTTCTAGGGGCGTTTTGCTTTTTGCTCTTAAATCCATTCTGAGTTAATTTTTCCTATTGTTATGGTTGTTGTTGTTTGACTATGAAATGTCCCTCATAGTTTTACAAGTCTGAACACTTGATGCCCTGGTGGTGGTGCTGTTTTGAAAGGCTGTGCAAACTTTATTTAGAAAGCCAAGTCTATCTGAAGGAAGCAGGTCACTGGGGAAGGCCTTGAGGCTTTATAGCCCTGCCTACTTCCTATTCACTCTGCTTCTTGTTCTGCCAAGATGTGAGGGGCTGAGGAGCCCCACCTGCACTGTCCTGTCCTCATGGAGCTCCTACTGCCATGCTTTCTCCTCCATAGTGAACTGGATCGCCTCACATTGAGCCGAAACAAATGCTTCCTCCCTTTGGCTGCTTCTTCTCGGGTATTTTGTTATTGCGATGCGCAAAGTAAATACAATGGAAATAGGTAAGGATCCAACCCTTTGACCTGAGCTTATCTTGTCATCCCAGAGCCATATGCTGCTTGTTCCATCTCCACTGACTTGTCTTAGTATCCCCCTTATTAAGAATAAGAAATTGACCACAAACATGAGGGCTTGTATTGGGATTCTCAGTTCTATTTCATCGTCTGTGGGACTAAGTATGTCCAATTTATGTCATTATTGCTCTGTTCGCATAATGCTCTGGCTTTGCAGGTTTTGAAAATGAGGAAATCTAAAATTTTGCTCTTTTTCATACCATTCTGATTATTTTGGATCCCTTGCATATCTATATACATTTTAGGATCCCTTTGCCAACTTTCAAATAAAATCAACAGGAAACAGTTGTGGTATAAACACAGGGAAGTAAAAAATGGTTGTACAGAAACATGCAACCAGGAAGCCAATGCTTAGTCTCAGAAAGGTTTAAAGAAACCTAAAAAGAAAGGAAAGAAAGCAGGAAAGGGAAGATCCCAACATTTTTCCTGTTTATTCCTCCAATATAATATGTAGCTGGGCATATCTTTCCACATCCTAGTTGATGCCAACTTGATCAATTTTTCCATTAAAGTAAAAATAGATATAGTACAGCCAATGATGGACTGTCTATATGTCCAGTGCATTCCTAGTTTAACGATTAGGTAACAGATGAACTTGAGAAATGGGACCTGAAGAATAGAGTGGCTCTAAAGATTACCAGGGATCCACGATATGAATGATGGCTCTCACATGCAAAAAAAACCTGTGCAGACAACTGCTTAATACACAGTAACTCAGCACAAGTGTTACATTGTGATCTTAAAGCAATCTGGAAGACTGGAGTTCCTGTCTTATAATTTCTAACCATAAATACACATCATGTGGATACTAGGTAATTAAGGAGCCCTTCAATTCTAATTCTGAAGAGGTAAAGTTCCTCAGCTTTCCTTTGACTAACTTTCTCTGATGCCAGTTCATTAAAAATGCTATAGCATTCATCCATTTACTCTATTATGAGTGGAGAGTATATTACACAGGAACTTTTCTGAAAAGTCCAAAACAAACACCTAAATCCACAAATCAAACAAAATTTTAAAAAGTTAAAACACAGATGAAGTTTAAAAAAATGTTTATGTGTATGTGTGTGTGTATGTCTGTATGTGCACATGTGTGCAGGCACCCACAGAGGCTAGAGGTAAAGATTCCCTTGAGCTGAAGTTCAGAGGTGGTTGTGGGCTGCCCCTTGTGGGTGCTGGGAAATGAATAGGTCCTCTGCAAGAGTCATCTCTCTGCCCTCTCAGCAGAGGTTAGGGGGAGATTAACCTGAATTTGTGATAAATTTTCTGAGTACTACTATAAATTCCTAATTCTTTCCTTCATTGACATGGATGATTTTAACACTTGTTTTTGTCGACCCCTCGCCTCTTTGGCAATCTTTCCTGGAATGATATAAACTTTTGTTGAAATATGTATTTGTTCCCTATTCTCCTGAGTGTATTTTTGTTGAAATTTGGGAAATAAAGTATCCTTTTAGAATTTATGTCTTTCAAAAAAAATGAGAAACTCTAAAGGTTTGTTATATAAATCTAGTAGAGTGCCAAGTTCATGGCAACAACTACAGCTGCTCTAAGAGTCTTCAAAGATGAATTAAGTTCACAGCTATATCCTAGAACTTAGGAAGTCTGAATAAACAAATGTGTCAATATTGTATAACTATGGCAGTTTAAATGAGCTTCTTGGCCAGTGGGATGGCTCAGTCTGATGACTTGAGTTCGATCACCAGGACCCACATGGTGGAAGGAGAGAACTGATTCCTGCCAGTTGTCCTCTAACTACCACACATGTACCACAGAATGCACATACACAAAGTAAGTAAATAAATAAATTAATAAGCAAGCTTCAGCAATTAGACTGAAAAAGTATATTAATACAGCCAAGTGAACACTAAGTACCACTAGGAGGCTTCTAAAGGATCATGTCAGGTCTAGACATAAATTAAGGTTTTAAAGCATACAGCCAGATGGCAAGATATGTTACCCATGAAAAAATACTGATGATTATGCTGTGAATGTTGAGCTTTTACTAAAGAATGGAAGTTTTAATGGCTATGGCTGGTAGACAGAACTGTCGTTGGTTTTTTTAATAAGAAATGGCAGCTACAACCTTTATCACCAAATGTGGTACAGCTTAGTTAATATGCAGACTTTTTAACACAGTTTTCTCACGCAGACCTTCTGCCACAGCACAATGTAAATATACTGACTTGCACCAAGCAGACCTTTCCTCAGTGGACAGCTGGCTTTGAAGCCACCACTGGTCTCAAGGAGACAATATTGTTCAGGTCACATGATGCATTCCTGGTGGAATAGTAGCACATTCTTACCAAATACCTATGAAAATCTTCTAGAGCTCACCTTTTGGATTCCATGGCTTTCCAGTGTGCCAGAAATAGGAGAACATCTAAATGCTGTGTACGTAGCTCTAAAAACATCTCCAGTTTCATCAACTCCCTGGAAAATAATCATTTAAATAATCAAATAAAAACCCTATGAGCCAATGGATCAGTTCAAGCAACTGTACTGCCCTTATGGTTATGGAGGACACAACAAACCTATCTAAGGGCCAGGAGCACTCAGTACATTACTAAGAAAGGACCTGCTCTGCTCCTCAGCCACAAAAGGTTACAAATATTCATTTTATGACTTCTTTGGCCACAGTGAGCTTAATAGTATTTACAGTGTCAAATGACTACCTTCCCCAAACACCCTGAGCACCCCGCTTAATGTATATTTTAATACTCTTGCAATACTAGATCCTTATTGCAATATATCCAGTAACTTCGTAACTTAAAACTGTGACTGTCACAAAACACACAGCCAACAGGCCAGTCCTAAACAGTACAAAAGACAAGTTGCCCTCTTTGAGTGGTAATTGCTTGCTATGTAGCTATGCAGCAGGTGGCAGGTAACACTCACCAGCACAGTGCTCCACCACACCTGCAGCAGCTCTTATGGGTTGACACATGACAACACTGAGTGAACACAAAGTATGGTAAGCAAGGAGAGTAAAGAAGTGTGCACACATGGTGCTGGCTAATAAAACCTGCAGCATTTCTCAAATTACCTCGTTTCAGATAAAAATCAGGAGGTAAGAATTAATGGAGCAGGCATGTATTTTTATACATATTTTCTTATCTTTTTGTTTTGTGTTTTGAGACAGGGTCTCTTTGTAGCTCCAGCTGGCCTAGAACTCACTATGTAGAACAGGCTGGCCTCAATCTCAGAGATCTGCTTGCCTCTGCCTCACAAGTGCTGGGATTAAAGGTATGAACACCAAACCTGACTGTGCCACCATGCTTAGGCAAATTTTCTAGTTTGACTCTCAGGGTCACCTGGTAAAAATGACTGAGCACATACCCCCCTGCCTACAGAGAAGCCAACTAACTAAACTGGTGGCACAAAAAACCAGCAAGTCAACCTGTACTTGCACTCAGAGTTTAAAACAGTCTGAACAGTTAGATGACTGACCTTGACATATGGCGGAGCAAAAGACGACAGGTGCCACTTCACATCTGTGGGGCCATGATTCTCAAGTTCTAGACTGTTCTCTGAAAGGAACACATGAATCACTCATACTCTGAGAGAGGCTAGTGACAAGGAGCTCTGTGACAAACCTCATGACCCGACGGTCCAGGGGAAACTAAAGTATTTTCTTTAAAGAAAAAGTTAGGTGTGCCAGATACCCTACTTTTATTTTTTATTTTTAACTTCGAAGACTCTAGAAGTTCAAGTGTATATTTTCTGTAGGGCACAGGTGAAGGTACACTGGGACTGTAGAAGAGTAATAGAGAAATGATGGATTGGCCAGGCGTGGTAGCACACACCTTTATCCCAGTACACAGGAGGCAGAGGCAGGGGAATCTGTGAGTTCAAGGCCAGCCTGGTTTACATAGTGAATTCCAGGCCACCTGGGGCTACAGGAAGACCCTGTCTCAAAGAGACCAAAGAGGAGAGAGAGTGAGAGAGAGAGAGAGAAAGAGAAAGAGAGAGAGGAAAAGGGAAGGGAAGAGAAGAGAAGAGAAGAGAACAGAACAGAACAGAAAAGAAAAGAAAAGAAAAGAAAAGAAAAGAAAAGAAAAGAAAAGAAAAGAAAAGAAAAGAAAAGAAAAGAAAAGAGAAAAGAAAAAAATGATGGTGCCTTGGAATAGAAGAGGTCCAATGTTGGGGCCTGGGTGCCCAGGACCATGTGTAGAGTCAAGATCACAGCTGACCATCAAAGGGCATTGGAAGTCATCCTTGAGAATCATTTCTCCCAGGACTAGAAACTGCAAGTGACAGAAATCTCCCCTCCCTGTCCCTAGCATAACCCTAATACAGAGGCAAAGCCACTACCATGCACAACCTGGGACCTTGGAGGGGTAGTCTGGGGAATGCAGCCACTCAGAAGGCTGAAACTGCTATCCAACACTGGGAAGCCCTCTACCCTCTAATCTGCTCCACCATCAGCCCACCAGTGGAGAAATGTGGAACTGTGGCTCATAATTAGAGATCACATCTCCAGCTTCACAGGAGGAGACCACAGCTCAAGGTTCATGAGAGGGGACCACAACTCTGGCTCACAAAAAGGTAACACAGCTCTTGCTCACAGGAGTGGACTGCAGCTCCACAGTAACAGGAGGGGACCACAACTTCCAGTTTATAGGAGACCACAACTCCAGCTCAGAGGAAAGAACCACACCTCCAGCTCACAGGAGGGGACAAGATACCATTTTGGATTTTATTCAAGTATAATGCAAAGATACTGAAGAGCTCAAACAAGGGGACAAGATCATAACAGAATGGGAAGACAGGTGTCACTTATTGGCACAGTCAGACTGGAGGAGAAGCAGGTTGTCTTGTGTATAAAACATTTGTCCTGCCTCCTGCCCTCAGGCCTCTCTTGGGGTAAGTCTATCGCGCAGCCCTCAGCGCCTTGACTCCCCCAGCTGCCTTGACTCCCCCAGCCACGTTCACCCTTCCATCTCCCCCGCTGTTCTCTGCTCCTAGTTTGGGCCCTGTGCCATCCCTAGTCTTGGGGCCCCAGACACCTGGGGAGCCAGTGCTGCTTCCTGATTCTTTTCACCCGGACTGGCTTGGTGCCTTCCTTGGACCCCAGGAGCACTGCTTCTGGACCTGGCCCCACCCTCACCTCTCTCTGCTTCCCTGGACCTGCACCACCGGCTAACTCTCCTGGCCTGCTCTCCTATCCTCAGGCCTCTTGGGGTGGGTCTATCGCGCAGCCCTCCGCGCCTTGACTCACCCGGCCACATTCACCCTTCCATCCATCTCCCCCGCTGTTCTCTGCTCCTAGTTTGGGCCCTGTGCCATCCCTAGTCTTGGGGCCCCAGACACCTGCGGAATGAATACTGTTTCCTGATCCTTCTCACCCAGACCAACTCAGTCCCTTTCTTGGGCTCCAGGAGCACCGCTTCCGGTCCTGACCCCGCCCTCACCTCTCTCTGCTTCCCTGGGCCTGCATCACCCGCTAACTCTCCTAGCCTGCACTCCTATCCTCAGGCCTCTTGGGGTAAGTCTATAGCGCAGCCCTCCGCGCCTTGACTCCC